TTTTTTTTTAAATATTATTTTGATTTACAGCTTACAGCTCAACTAAAGATACAATTAAATCTCGTAATTTAATTAATTTTGTATCAATATACAATAGCTACTAATATTAGTTACAAGTTATTATCACAAAGCTTTTTTCCATAAATGATAAAAGTCACCATCTTTAATTATTTTTATGATATCGTTAAGTTTTGCACCATAATAATGTTATTATCTACTCATTAATCATTAATTTGGAAGTTATTAATACGTTATTATTGGCTATATACCATAGTAATGTATAAAGAAAAAAGAAGTTTAGTTTTTTTTTTTTTATACCTTCTGTGTAATGTATACCATATTAGCAGTGGCGTAATAATTATGGTTACGCACGACGGTGCACTTGCACCCCCTGGTATTATGTAGCAGGTGCCTATTAAAATACAATAACTAGTATATTTCATTGGTTTATAGAATTTTTTATAAACTTATTTAAAAGTTTTGTTATCAATATAGTTGATTTCKTATAAATATTATATTTTTATATGTATAATGTAATGTGGTACAGATGCAGCACATACAGTGTTTATAAAGCATAGGTACCTACAGATTTTGATTTTTGTTTATGTTATGTTGTTATCAAATATAAAAAGATACCTATAGTATAGTACATGCTTGTAAAATAATTAGCATTAAATATGACATAATTCGTCATTACGATTACCTATTGAACCGATGAAATGTTTGCACCTGCTGAAATTTAATGCAATTACGCTAAATATGACTATTAGAACCTATTGATAAAATGTATGTAGATAAATTATATACACATGTAAATATGATTTACGTTTTAAATAAAAAATATTACTATTTGTAAATAAAAATTTAAATATATCAACAATTAAGATACCAAACTTAAAAACAAAAATGTATATAAATATATATTATAAACATTATATTTAATTGTATTATAAATAAAAATAAGGTATAGCTAGGGGTTCCTATCATTTCTACCTCCAATCACCTCTGTGTGTTATCATAATATTATAAGAAAATTATAAAAATGTAGGCATTTTGAACCATTTCGACCACTGGTTATTTAAGAATATTCAAACATAAGACGATCGTCGATATTCTGAGGATATAACTATTAGACTTAATAATTKCCCAGAATAATTAATAGTGATTGCTGTTAACTGTTAAGTACCTAACTAACTACCTAGTTTCATGGGCCGGATCACACTATGCATATTGTCGATCGCT